TCTCATCGATCCATACCGTTTGACTCATCCGGATATGCCAGGACCTACGTGGTTCTCTAACTGGAACGAAAGGACAAGTACCACTGTCCGCAGACTGGACTACTTCCTAATATCCACGCAGCTATGGGATACAGTCATTGCAGTGGAAGAAACCCTGAACCCCTTATCTGACCATAAGCCAGTATGCTTATCCTTGATGACTGCACCCCCAACTCAGGGAAAATGCCTTTTTCGTTTCAATGCACAAAACCTGGAAGATCCAGGGTGAGTGACATGGATGAAGGAGTTTTGGATAACATGGGAAACTGCTCGCTCTAGTTTTCTTACGAGAGAACAGTGGTGGAACTCTGGGTCCAAGTTATTTTCAAACCTGTTGAATATATTTTCGAGAATTATGGCCACAAACAGAGCCAAAACGGAAGAGAGTGTGAAAAGAAGGATTAAGTATGCTGAGGAGCGAATGGCGGAACATCCAGTTTCCAACTTGGTTTGGGGAAAAGAAATAGCAAAATTGATGGGGGAGTGGGATGATCTTCAGAAAAAGAACTCTGAAGTGTGGTCAAAACGATTGCTAGTGAAAGGGATAACTATATACGACAGAATGACTAAAGAATCATTCCAGAAATTGCTACCAAGGCGCTCATCTGTTCCGATGTGAGAGTTACAACACCCGTTTGATTCATCTGCACCAAGGGCCAAGGAGCTCACACAGCTGTGTGAGTATGCTGTGATCTATTACCAGAATATTCTGACGTCAAGGTTACAAGGTGCTGATGTAACAAACAACCTGGATGAAGAGTCCGATCACTAGAATAACACGACAATCAGGATTTCAACTACAGGAAGATTGGACTTAGACCGCCCGATCATAACAGAGGAGGCCTGGGAAGCTTTGAAAGCTATGGCCAAAGGTAAGACCCCTGGAGACGATGGTCTTCCCGTAGAACTATATCTGGCAATCTGGAGTGAGGTGGGGACTAGCCTAGTTGAAATCTACAATAAGACACTTTCGGGTTCAATGCTGTCGGAAAATATGCGACATGGTATCATTTCTGTGATGTTTAAGAAAGGTGACCGTGCAGAAATTCAAAATTGGCGACCAATCTCCGTGTTAAATGTTTCATACAAGTTGCTTGCGAAAATATTAGCAAGAAGATTGACAAAGTATCTTCCTTCATTGGTTTGTAATGATCAGGCAGCATTCGTGCAAGGTAGATCGATTTTTGATAATATAGTTACGGCCATCAAAACGCTGGAGATTGTACAGAATGATTCTCTGAATGTCGCAGTTCTGTTACTAGATCTAGAAAAGGCATATGACCGTGTGAATTGGTCATATGTCCTCACAACCTTGAAAGTAATGGGATTTGGAGACAATTTCTGTAAATGGATTGTCGCTATGTACTCACTTTCCACATCATCAGTGATAATCAATGGACAGGTCTCTAAGCCGTTCAGTCTCACTCGGTTACTACGACAGGGTTGCCCATTAGCACCACTCCTCTTTGCAACGCAAATGGAAGTGCTGCTGAACAACATCCGTGCTCATGTGCGAATCAAAGGCCTTCAGGTAGGTACCTCGCAATGTAAAGTCAAAGCATTGGCTGATGATCTGTTTGCGATATCTGAGAATACGCCAGAATCGCTGGGATCTCTAAAGCACGAACTGGACGTTTATTCCAACCTCTCGGAAGCACAGGTAAATTGGCATAAGTCAGCATATCTCCTCCCGATGGAATTCACAATCACGTGTGAGTGGGGTATGAAACGAGTGACTGACAGCCTGTCGGAGCGTTTCTTGGGGGTCCAGATCTCACTATTGGACTGTGAAGGAGATCAGGATGACCTGCTGTTGCAGAAATCAATGCACAGGATGACAACATGGGGCAAAGCCCCCCACTTATCCCTCTTCGGCAGAGCACTAGTCGTAAATGGGACACTATTCGCATTACTATGGTATGTAGGGACAGTGAGAGCACTTGGTAAGCAGCTGTATACCTTAACCAAGACAAAGAAGACGAAGTTCATTTGGAAACCGTATGCCCAAGAAGAAGATTCGTTTATCTCCAAAGTAGCCTGGGAGATGATATGTACCCCTAGAGCGAAAGGTGGGTTGGGATTGCTCGATCCCTCAAAGCAGATCAATGCGATGCAGATCAGATGGCTGATCCGTGCGAGCACTGTGAATCCAGCCCCTTATTGGGTGGGAATGGCCGAGTATATTCTTGCATCGGAGTGGAACCTAGTGCGTCCACAAGATGTATGGACCTGTCTTATGCTATACTCGTTCCAACATAGGCAAATCAAATCACCATTCTGGAAAGCGATTATTGCAGCCTGGAAAAAACTCAAACCAGATGTGTGGGTAGAACCTGTCACAAAAGTAGAGATCTTGGCTCAACCCCTGTTTGAGAATCCGAAGATATGATTGCCAGGACATGAATGGATCAAAGCCGACAACACCAGCTTTGGTCGCAAATGGATATAAAAAGGTGTGTTAAGGATTGGGGATATTTGGAACACTCTGCTTGGCACATGGAAGACGGAGTCGGAGGTACGTGAGTCACTTGGGCACATGAGGAATGTAGGTCATAAACTGTCTATGTTGATAGCAGCTGTTCCTCAACATTGGAAGGACCAGCTGCATCCAGCTGTTGTGGAACCTTTTGGAACATGGTTCGTTTGTGAAGGTGAGGATACGCGAATGTGGATCGGTCCGATGGCAACAGGAAGTTTCAAGGATGGAAAAATGGGGGAGATAACGTTCTGTTGAAGATGAAAGATGATGAGCACCCGACAGTGGGATCTATATTTTCTCAGATCCGCGTCAGAGAAATTGTCTCATCATAAGGAAAACAGTCTTGCACATTGCTGTTGAAAGGCATACCTGTCAAGTCCTTGAAATTAGACCCCTGCATGTGGGAATGGAGGGCTCTGGGAGAAGGGAGTACTAATGTATGTTTGTTGGAATATACGCAGAGTATTGGATATAAAGCTGTCATCTCGAAAAAAGACCCTTTCACAGTGGCTCGTGCTAGATGGCAGGCGTTATTGGACTGTGACCCGAATATAATTGGGAAAACCTTCGAAAACTGTTGGGAACAACTCAAGTTAATTCCTTGTCAGCGCCAAGCATCCATATTATGGCTGTTGTTAACGCTGGCCACCCCATCTGCAGTGTGGCTAGCGGGGAGGAGACTGGAAGTGGACTTGAAATGCTTACGATGTGAATGGGCATTTGAGTCGACAGTCCACCTGTGGTGGGACTGTCCGGCCTCAGCCAGCATCTGGAAGTGGTGGATAAACATTTGGAAAACGCTACCTGGCCAAGAGTTGGAGTGGGACAAAGTCTGGACGTTACTTGGAGGTATCCCAGATAGCCTGTCCCTCACCAAGGGATGGGGCTACACAGCACAAACGGCAAGAGCAGTCCTGTTTTCAGTAATTTGGCTGACAAGGAATGATCAAGTATTTGAAGACAAGCAATGGACCAATGTACAAATCAGGACTACAGTGATGCAGGGTCTGAGAAGAGCAATCAATGCGGACTGGCAGAGGAAAGTCGTCAAGCCCATCAACAGAATCGGTGACAAATTATGGTTTCGTCAAACTTGGTGCGTTAACAGTTCTTTTGCCTCGATTGATGGTGAAGGACAACTAGTATTGGCTTCTTGGTTATTCCAACAGGAGGAGTAAGATTCTCAACCTGGGCTGCTCGGTTGCTTATAGCCTCAGGAGGCTGGCAGAAGGGATACTAGTGGAAGGAGCGCCATCAGTACAGTAGACTCCCTCTTTCAAGCCGGGTTAGGCAAGAGAGAGAGGATTTGATAAGATAGATTGAGATTCTAGAGACGATAGGGGAAGGAACGGTTCAGGTTCTGTCTTCTTGTAGAATAGTGTTCTAAATGACAGTAGAGAGTAGTGTAGATGTTGAATTTCAGTAGCTTTTTTTCAGCTCTGTTCAAGCTGTCGTTCTTTTTTTGGCTGACAATTTGGTGGGTTGTGATTGGAGTTTTGGCTTGTAGCTAGTTTTGTGTTATTTTTTCACTTTCTTTCCCAGGGTTGGGATGTGTCAGGACAGCGGTCCAGATTTGGCCATTCTGTCACTAGACCACAGAGTCCCAACGCCTGCACC